AGCAGGGAGGCTTAGGTAGGGGGTGGAGTCCTGGGGGGCAGTTAGGGGCAGGGGTCCCAGGAGGGGGCAGTCAGGGGACAAGGCGTGGGGGGAGGGTTGGGGGTTCGTGAGGGGGCAGGAAGTGGGAGGGAGTGGAAGGGGCAGGGGCGGGGCTAGGGCAGGACAGGGGCGGGGCTAGGGCGGGGCTCCTCCCGTCCTCTTTTTTGATTGTTGAAATATGGTAACCCTATCTTAATCTTCATGGCGGCCGCGCCACACACGCCGGTGTCTGGCCTCCCTCCAGCGCTTGTGCCGTTGCTATACAGCTGATCGGCGCGCAAGCGTGCGTGGGGAAGAGGCGGGGCCAGGGTGGGGATTTGGGGAGCTATCCAATGGGGGAAGGAGGGAGCGGAGTTGGGGCGGGGGGGGAGGGGGAGCCAGAGCGGAGGGCAAAAATTGCTTCTTTGTCCAGTGTCTCGACCAAACATTGGTCGGGACGTGGGACAAACAAGTAAAAATCGGGACGTCTAGTCACCCTAATGCTAGATGCGCTAAAGATTCAGACGTCCCTTCGTGCTTCAACCACCTTTCCAGAGGACACGCATCCGTGCTATAATGGGTTCTGCTCGATAACGATTCAAAAGAAGGCAGACCAATGCATGTTCATTTTCATCATCTGAGTTAGATGCCACCAGCAAAAGATTGATTTTCTTTTTTGGTGGTTCAGGTTCTGTAGTTTCCGCATCAGAATGTTGCTCTTTTAAGACATCTAAAAGCATGTTACACACTTCGTCCCTCTCAGATTTTGGAAGGCACTTCAGATTCTTAAACCTTGGGTCAAATGCTGTATCTATCATTAGAAGTCTCACATTGGTACCTTCTTTTGTCAAGTCTGCAGTGGAAGTGTTCTTAAAACAAATATGCTGGGTCATCACCCGAGACTGCTATAACGTGAAATATATGGCAGAATATGGGTAAAACAGAGCAGGGGTGTAGCGGGGTTGTCACCCCGTTCCGGCCCTGAAGGGGTTAAAGCAGCCCTGGAGAGGGCTGTGGCGGAGAAGCTAGGCTGATTGGGAAAGCAGCCACAGCTATAGCCAGTGCAATCGGGGCCCAGCTGGCCCTTATAAGAGGGCTGTGGGCCAGAAAAAGACACTCTCTCTAGCTTCAGTGAGAGAAGGACATGGCTGCCTGGGAAGCTGAGGAGGGTACCTAGGATGGAGCAGTGCTGGGGAAGGGCAGAGGGAGCGGGGGAGCTCCAGCCTAGCAAAGCCCCAGGCTGCAGGCCGAGTTAAGGGCCCACAAAGGTACTGGGGCTGCAGAGGGGCAGTCCAGATATAGACAGAGACAGCTGGTCCAACCCCCCTTGGCGATGATGAGTGGTTTATAGACTGCAGTCTGCCCCAGGAAGCGGAGGCTAGATGATGACTGGCAGTAGCCACTGAGGCAAGATGGGGATAGGAAGTTGGGGGTTCCCCGGGGTGGGGAGACCCAAATTGCGGGTTACTGCTGGGGGCAGGACCCTGACAGAGGGGCTGGGAGGGACATGGGGCCAGCGGCAGGTGGGACACCGGCCTGCAGAGGGCGCTCCGGGCTGGGAAGAGCTAATTCCCTAGACAACCAGCAGGAAGCGCCGTGCCGGTGAGTCGTCACCCCGCCACAAGGTGACACAGAATTCTCCCCCAAGGAGTTCAGTCACAAATGTAATTAACGCATTATTTTTTTAACGAGCGTCATCAGCATGGAAGCATGTCCTCTGGAATGGTGGCCGAAGCATGAATGGATATATGACTGTTTAGCATATCTGGCATGTAAATACCTTGCAATGCCGACTACAAAAGTCCCATGCAAATGCCTGTTCTCACCTACTGGTGACATTGTAAATAAGAAGAGGAAAGCATTATCTCCCATAAATGTAAACAAACTTGTTTGTCTTGGCCGTTGGCTGAACAAGAAGTAGGACTGAGTGGACTTCTAGGGTCTAAAAGTTTTACATTGTTTTGTTTTTGAATGCAATTATAAATCAAAAAATAATCTACATTTGTAGGTTGCACTTCCACGATAAAAGCAATGGCACTACAGTACTTGTATGAGGTGAATTGAAAAATACTATTTCTTTTGTTTATCATTTTTACAGTGCAAATATTTGTAATAAAAATAATATACAGTGAGCACTGTACATTTTGTATTTTGTGTTGTAACTGAAGTCAATATATTTGAAAACAAACATCCAAACATCCAAAAAAATCCCAAAATATTTAAATATTAAAACTGTGATTCTATTGTTTAACAGCGCGATTAAACTGTGATTAATCATGATTAATTTTTTTAATTGCGATTAATTTCTTTGAGTTAATTGTGTGAGTTAACTGTGATTAATCGACAGACCTAGTAACTAGGATTTGCTGCCCCCGCCCCTCCCCCCCCGGGGCCTCTAGCCTATAAACAGGGTCAGCCACCCTGTTAGAAGAGTGTAAATACAAGTTGTATATGTTAATCTGAAACAATACAGAATACCACCTACCTTTGAACCAGGAGGAGCAGTCAAGCCTAAAAAAGCATACACTGCATTATTCTCTCTAGCTTCGAAGAAAGCTTCATAATCCTTCATGGAAGGGGGTAGGGGGGAAGAAAGAGAGAGAGATTATGAGCCATCCAAAAATAATAAAGTATTAGTTCGATACACCTCTCCCAAAGCCCACACTGAGCAAACTAAAACTGTTCAGGACTTATGTGGCCTAAAGCACAATTCAGAGGTCAATTCATATTTCTAGCACTAATTCTGGTATCCGTAAATTTTAATTTTAGTACTTGAGAAAGAGGCCAGGATGGCAACAGGTAAACCACAAGCAGTGACCGCTTCACCAGTATGCCTCGACTTTGACTGGGAAGCAGGGCCGGCTCCAGGGTTTTGGCCACCCCAAGCGGCCAAACAAAACAAAACAAAACAAAAGCCGCGATCGCAATATGCGGCGGCAATTCAGCGGGAGGTCCTTCGCTCCGAGCAGGAGTGAGGGACCCTCCGCCGAATTGCCACCAAACAGCTGGATGTGCCGCCCCTCTCCGAAGTGGCGGCCCCAAGCACCTGCTTGGTAAGCTGGTGCCTGGAGCCGGCCCTGCTGGGAAGCACCACATTCATGGCAATTCAGTCCTTGGTCTCTGCTGTTACGGTTGATAATTGCGCCAGATGGAGGCAGCAAATGCTGTGGCATGGACGCCTCTCCACAAGGACAGAGCTGAGCCCCGTAACTTGTTTCATCACGGGAGATGTCAAAGTGTTGCTACTAATCTCAGTCAGATTCAAACCTATTATCTGAAAATGAAAAGCTAAAAAAACACTTCTTCATGTTACTAATCCTCAAGTCACAGCCTTGCCATTACACTGGCATGTTTTCAATGCTTTTGTGTATGTGAATGCACAAAAGCAAGTGGTTCTCCTCACTCCAAAGGCCAACATCTGCCTTTGCACACTGCTTTGAGGTAAGCTCAGTTAATGCACTAGCCCAGTAAACACTAGAGGTCTCTGCCTCATAATGTTTGGTGCTCAATTAAAGTTACAGAACTGCAACACTAACATACACAGCCACTTCTCGGGAGAAAAGGGGAGGTGGAGAATGAGGGAGAAACCACCACCACACACACCCTGCTTTCTGTATATTTTCTAACACAGAGAATGCAAGTCTGCCCTGAGCACAGAGACTCTATGCTCATGGCTCTGATAAGTGTGGAAAGAGCTACACAATGAAACTGGTTTTGACAAACAGTTGCGAAATACTGGCTAATCATGCTTAGGAGACTTGCATAAGCCACCCGTCATTTTGATTACCACACACATCCCTAGCTCCGATTTCCAAAGTCACATTACAGACCTAATGTAGGCTTTTTTCCTACCCTTTCTCCCCCTTTTCACTGAAGCTGTAACACTGGTTTTCTCTGCGTCTGATGGGCCTGCAAGAATCCTCGCGAACCATCTAGCTGAGGAATGCCAGTAATACGAAGAAGGCTGAGTTGTGGGTTGAAGTTAGTGAGGAAGCTGCCATTGAGGGCAGGCTGTTTCACACGCCCCTCCATCTACAGGCAGAAGCATGAGAAATTAGCTGAATCAGAATGCTGTAGACTGGAATCTGCAGGGGAATGCTGTGGTCAGGAGCAATATCCCGTGAGGCTCTGTGGCAGTTGGGAAGAGAGGGCAAAACAAGGAACTGCCAGTTTGTGTGAACTGGAGATCGGAGATGTTCGATTGTTGTTAAATTTGAACGTGTAACTTCCAGGTTTTAGTTTTTTAAATAATGTGTACAGATTTGTTAAATCCTCCCTGAAGCCCTTAGGCTAATGCACACTGGAGTCATTTGATAACAAGTGTTTTGAGTGTCCTGCTTCTGTATGGTCCAGCAACCTGATTCCTAGCACAACTACTAGGAAAGCAACCCTGTCAGCTACAGAAGAGGGTGACCCTTGCATGGCAAGTTATTGATGCATAGAGTTTATAGTCACAGTTTAGAAGTGTGAACAAGGGTGATGTCGTGGTGGGAGTCTACTATAGACCACCAGACCAGGGGGGGATGAGGCGGACGAGGCTTTCTTCTGGCAACTAACAGAAGTGACTAGATCACAAGCCCTGGTTCTCATGGGAGACTTCAGTCACCCTGATATCTGCTGGGAGAGCAATTCAGCGGTGCACAGACAATCCAGGAAGTTTTTGGAAAGTGTAGGGGACAATGTCCTGGTGCAAGTGCTGGAGGAACCAACTAGGGGCAGAGCTCTTCCTGACCTGCTGCTTACAAACCGGGAAGAATTAGTAGGGGAAGCAAAAGTGGATGGGAACCTGGGAGGCAGTGACCATGAGATGGTCGAGTTCAGGATCTTGACACAAGGAAGAAAGGAGAGCAGCAGAATACGGACCCTAGACTTCAGAAAAGCAGACTTTGACTCCCTCAGGGAACTGATGAGCAGGATCCCCTGAGAGAACAACATGAGGGGGAAAGGAGTCCAGGAGAGCTGGCTGTATTTTAAAGAATCCTTATTGAGGTTGCAGGAACAAACCATCCCGATGTGTAGTAAGAATAGCCAAGCTGGTCGTCTGCCATATTTACTAAACAGTGAAATCCTTGCTGATCTTAAACACAAAAAAGCAGCTTACAAGAAGTGGAAGATTGGACAAATGGCCAGGGAGGTGTATAAAAATATTGTTCAGGCAGGCAGGAGTGAAATCAGGAAGGCCAAATCACATTTGGAGTTGTAGCTAGCAAGGGATGTTAAGAGTAACAAGAAAGGTTTCTTCAGGTATGTTAGCAACAAGAAGAAAGTCAAGGAAAAAGTGTGGGCCTCTTACTGAACGAGGGAGGCAACCTAGTGACAGAAGATGTGGAAAAAGCTAATGTACTCGATTCTTTTTTTTGCCTTTGTCTTCACAAACAAGGTCAGCTCCCAGACTACTGCACTGGGCAGCACAGCATGGGGAGGAGGTGACCTCCTGTGGAGAAAGAAGTGGTTCAGGACTATTTAGAAAAGCTGGACGAGCACAAGTCCATGGGGCCGGATGCACTGCATCCGAGGGTGCTAAAGGAGTTGGCAGATGTGATTGCAGAGCCATTGGCCATTATCTTTGAAAACTCATGGTGATCCGGGGAGCTCCCGGATGACTAGAAAAAGGCTAACAGAGTGCCCATCTTTAAAAAAGGGAAGGAGGAGAATCCAGGGAACTACAGGCCAGTCAGCCTCATCTCAGTCCCTGGAAAAATCATGGAGCAGGTCCTCAAGGAATCAATTCTGAAGCACTTAGAGGAGAGGAAAGTGATCGGGAACAATTAGCATGGATTCACCAAGGACAAGTCATGCCTGACTAACCTAATTGCCTTCTATGACAAGATACCGGCTCTGTGGATGAGGGAAAGCAGAGGATGTGTTATTCCTTTACTTTAGCAAAGCTTTTGATACGGTCTCCCACAGTATTCTTGCCAGCAAGTTTAAGTAGTATGGGCTGATGAATGGTCCATAAGGTGAATAGAAATCTGGCTAGATCGTCAGGCTCAACGGGTAGTGATCAATGGCTCCATGTCTACTTGGCAGCCGGTATCAAGCGGAGTGCCCCAAGGGTCGGTCCTGGGGCCGGTTTTGTTCAATATCTTCATTAATGATCTGGAGGATGGCATGGATTGCACCCTCAGCAAGTTTGCAGATGACACTATACTGGGAGGAGTGGTAGATATCCTGGAGGGTAGGGATAGCATACAGAGGGACCTAGACAAATTAGAGGATTGGGCCAAAAGAAATCTGATTAGGTTCAACAAGGACAAGTGCAGAGTCCTGCAGTTAGGACGGAAGAAGCCCATGCACTGCTACAGACTAGGGACCGAATGGCTAGGCAGCAGTTCTGCAAAAAAGGACCTAGGGGTTACAGTGGACGAGAAGCTGGATACGAGTTGACAGTGTGCCCTTGAAGGCTAATAGCATTTTGGGCTGTATAAGTAGGAGCATTGCCAGCAGATTGAGGGACATGATCATTCCCCTCTGTTCGACATTGGTGAGGCCTCATCTGGAGTACTGTGTCCAGTTTTGGGCCCCACACTACAAGAAGGATGTGGAAAAATTGGAAAGAGTCCAGTGGAGGGAAACAAAAATAATTAAGTCAGGTTTGACAAAGTCCTGGCTGGGATGATTTAGTTGGGGACTGGTCCTGCTTTGAGCAGGGGGTTGGACTGGATGACCTCCTGAGGTTCCTTCCAACCCTGATATTCTA